TAAAATTGATGAATTAAATTAAATTAGCTCTAAAGCTCCCTCTAGCTCTAACAGTCAATAGTCATAGAAATATCCTGTATTCAGTCCTCTCAGGAAGATGATTTCCTAAGCCCTCTGAAGCTTGTACGTGCTTTGTGACTTACACATGATTTATTTCTAGAGTAAATTTAGCCTGGGTGGGGGTGGGGCATCTGTGATAGAGATAGGTTGACCCAAGCACATTGATTCAGTGCCTAAATGAAGCATCTTAGACATGTCACCAGGGACTAGAAGAATTTATTGATATGTATTAAAACCTACTGTCTATCAAAGCAGCAGATGCTGAAGAGATTTAAGGGCATGATTTCTCAGACAAATGGCCTCACTCCCACCCCTGGTCCTCCAAAATGTCACTTAACGCCTACTGTCTATCAAAGCAGCAGATGCTGAAGAGACTTAAAGGCATGATTTCTCAGACAAATGGCCTCACTCCCACCCCTGGTCCTCCAAAATGTCACTTAACAGTCCCCAGAGAAGTCTCTCCCTATTCTTTGCCAGTATACCATGTCCCTCCCTACTTTCAAATGTTAGAAGTACCATTATGTCTAATATCCAACAGTCAACTAATGACAGGTAAGTATTTATCAAAGGGGAGCTTTGGGGACTTAACCCCACACTCCCCAAAAACCCTCAAGTCCTCCAAACATAAGCCAAATAAGCATAAGGTCTCTGTAGACACAGCATCTTGGACAAATGCAGCTTCAGGACATATTTCCCAGTCTCTTTCCAACTGTACTGCTGTCCAGAAGCCTTTCCTACGCTGACATCTGGGAGCTTCAAATGAGATTTAATGCGAACCTCCTGTGTGTCTGGGAGTTGCTCTGGTGGATTGTGTAGTTTCAACTGCAGGGCCCCTCATCAAGTACAGAGGTTGTGGCAACAGCTGTCTGCTGTGTCTTGGAGCTGAGAGGTTTGGTGTATCTTCTCAGTGTTGATCATCAGGCACTTAAGGTCTGTCTGGTGGTGGAGGGAGGCAGCCATGACAAGGGAAAGGGGCATCAGTACAGATTTCCTGTCTTGTCAGGTCTCATGGACTCAGGTATGATGAGTATCAACTCACACTGGAATATGGACTCCATGAGGTCAGGGACCTTGTCTGTTTTACTCGTCATTGTGGCTTCAGCACCTAATGCAGTGCTAATTAATGGTGTGAAGCAGGTTCACTGTGCACTGGTTACCAACTTGTCAGGGTTCAGTGAGACAGAACACAATCATATGTAACAAGTTGCATGAAGCAGATCTATTACTTATAGATGGGCAGCAAGGGACAACAGAAGCCTAGGGTTCATTATAAGCCAGTCCCTCAAGGCACAGAAAGCTGCCCAAGACAGATGGAGTCTTGACTGTGTGCACCCCACTTGTACCACAAATGAGGGAGTCTGGAAGGTGGCCCACACTGGCGTTTATAACTTGGGGGCTATGGGACATGCTAGGCTTAAGGGTTGAAGGACATCTTGCTTTAGCAGGGACTGGAACCGAGCCTGGGCTGTTCTGGCCATCTCCTCCCTTATCTCAGGATGCTGCATTCCCAGCACATTTTATATTTATTCTTGGGAACTACGAGCAAGAAATGGAGGAATGGGGAGAACTGCATTGGCCCAAGGCCATGTGGAAAAATGTCCTGCACGTGGTAGGCACTTAATTAATGTGGATTGAATGACTAATGACGAAGTCACATTGTGTTGTGGTTAAGAGCACAGATTGTGGAGCCAAATCCCAGCTCCACTGCTCACTAGCTGGAAATTTGGTCAAGTGAGCTAACATTTCTGTGCCTCAGTTTCCTCATTTTAAAACTACAGATAATAATAGTGTATATCTAAAGGGAAGTTATGCAGGCTAAATGAATGAATGTTTATAAGGTGGTTATAACAAATGCCTGGCATGCATTATAAATGTTTATTAGATAACTAAATTATCAGCTTACATTCCCCACTCCTTTTCCATCATTACCAAGGTTTTGTTTTGGGAATACAGGTTTGGGTTTGTGAGAACACATGCTAACATGTGTGGGACCAGACCCAAACACACTTCTGCCTTCAGAAATGCTGCTATCCAGCTTTCTACTTGTGCGATGCTCTGATGCCTCTCTTCCCATCATCGCTGTTAATACATGCCTTACCCTTTTAGACTGAGAGCTCCTTGAAAGTAGGCACCACCCAGAGCCTGATCTAGAAAGATGCGTAGTGGTTTGGAACAAACGCATGATTAACTGAGTGAATGACTATCTCGTGTGTCTTGTCTTCTTCACTCCTGGGGAAGGAATCACAGACTGCTTTCCCATCTCTCGGCTCGTGTTTACCCATGGCGCATCAGCCTTTTCTGTGCATGCCCTGTTCTGGTTGCTGTAACCTCCTCATCCCATTGTCATTTCCAGCTCAATCTTTGCTCGATCACCACCTCTTTTCAGCTTCCCTGGGTAACTCCTTTTGCTTTCCCCTAATACCTGTTCTCTCTTGCTTTCCCTGTCTGCTCCACATGCCTTGCAAACATTAACATTTACACTGGCCATCTTGCTTTGCCCTTGCCTTTTATTTTAAGTCAGGTCAAGTCCTTTTGGTAAACTATAAAAGAATTAATTGTAGATTAAACATTATTATTGTTTTTCTCTGCAAACTCTTTTTTCCTTTCACCCTTATAAGCAGCTCAAGCTCCCTCACTATTCATTACAAATTCTTTTTCCCCCACAGGTTGCAACTTTTTATGATAGTATTTTTTTAATTTTGCTCTTGTTTTGGTTTGTGTTCAAAGTTCTGCTAGTCAGAGCTGCAATTTATTGTCGCCTGTACCAGATGCGACTCTTACACACTTTACACACACGTAAAGGGTGAGGAAGCAAAGTAGATGGTGTGACTCACCACCCAATTATCTCACCCCAGTCTCCACTTTTGAGGCATATCTAATCTGCTCAACTCTGTGGAAATGACATCTAAGCAGTATTTAGATATTAGTACAAGCCAGTCCATAAGATAAACTTCTGAACTTAAACCACTTGCTCAAAAACTCCGGCTTGCTTCAAAACCTTCTTAGGGTGGGGTTTTGCTGTGCGAGAGTTGTTAGTTATGCATTTGGCTGTTGTTTTAGCATGTCATTATTAGGTGTTGCTGGCCTAGCTCCTATTATGGTGTAATCTCCACAAGGATCAGAATATTGTCTTCTCCTTTATCTGTGTATTCTCATTGTGCCCAGAATGGATCTGCGTACAGAGGACACTTGGTGAACTCCATTAATGTACAGAAGGTCACTGCATCGTGCAGTGACCCAGATCTGGTCCCCCTCTGAGAGCAGTTACACACCAGGAAGAGTTCAAAGCTCTCAATTTTGTCATTCCCCAGGGGGAGCTGTGGACCTCTGGGTAGCCTCACTAATAATACTGATTTCCAGGGTCCAGTTCTGCAGTCACAGATCTTGATTTTTCTTCTTAATCTAAGAACCATTTTTCTTCTGTGTCTTCGCCAGCTCCACCCCTCAGGAGAGACAGCAGTAGATTGGTTATGCTAAGCATTCCACCTCAGGGGTTAGATTTTGATTTTTCCACAGCAATCCAGTCATTTATATAGCTGAGATAGACTCATCTTGAAACTTCATAAAGCCATTTAATTTTTTAAAAAATCATAACTCTAGATAATTTGTATCTGTGGTATTTCCAGTCCTCTTTTAGATTTCCAGGGAATACTCTGTGAAGCAGGAATATCAAGTGCACGCCCTTTGTCGCTGTCTTCTTTGCTTTTCCTTACTGAAATGTTAATAATTTGGAGCTAAGCAGTGTGTGTTGGAGTGTTGCTGTTTTGTTTGCATGCACTCTTTTTAATCATAAAGCTGATGTGGGCAAGGCAGACACACAAATGAAAATAGGAACAGTGCTAGGGATGTGCAGAGAATGACATGCGCCTTTTTTTTTTTTTTTGTCCTTCAGTTTCTAGACCTGTGAAAAAGGCATTATGTTTGGGACCTGCCCCTCCAGCCTCTCAGCTCTGCAGTGTCCCTTGCTCTACAGACTGCATAGTGTCTTCCTGGTCAGCCTGGGGCCTGTGCATCCACGAGAACTGCCACCATCCTCAGGGGAGAAAAGGTGAGTGCGTTTGTTTGTGTGTGCTTCATTTGCTGTCAGTGTACACACATTTATTCTGCTACCTAAGTCGCTGATTAAGCCTGCTTAAGACAATATTTGTTTCTAAAACTTAGATAACCAGCCCAAGCCTGACAGTATTCAGTCATTAGGAAAGCAATTGGGGACATTTTTACACAGCACAGAATCCAACCTTGGTCGACCTTCCAGTTAGGCTCATAGCTGATGAAGTGACTGTTACTCTTTTGGTATAACGTATTTTTTATATGTTATATGTATACACATATATATACATTTTATCTATATATAAAATGGCTATATTAGGAAAATTAGACATTATTTCTATAATCACATCAGAAAGACTGGTTTGCATATCTGTTTATTTTTGGATTTCCATCTTTAACATTTGATGTTATATTTCAGACTTTTATGAGGGGCATTGTATATGTTGTTTATTCTTTGATGTTGTCCTTAGACTTAACGTGAAATCTTAAACCTTTATGTGCCTGTTTAATTTTGTAGGTCTTGGTGGTCTTGTTTTCTTTAGTTTGCAGTTAAAATATACATCTTCATCTTCCAGAGTTCATTCCCAGTGAAATCTTGCCTTCTCTTTCATTAATCCTTTAGTTTCTATTGATATTGTGTTTCTTCAAATGGCAGTGATAAGAAGATATATTCCCCTTGCTAAGAGAAATGTGACCCAGGGACATTCTAGAAGTTGGGTTGTGTTTGCCAAGCTGTAATCCTATTTATTGCATGCAAAGAGAAAATACATGGCCAAGCCCTTGATGCTCCAACACTATTGTTCACAGCACCCTGCTCACAGCTTAATGCCACATCCATTTGAAAATGCACATTTCAGTGACCCCTGGAGTGCTCCATGCACACATGTGCACACCCAGGTTCATATGCCTGTGTTCCTGGGCTTTTCCCTTTGTTCTGACACTTGTTCTAAGGCAGAAATAAAGATGTGGGTTGTGTCTCAGGCAGGAAGAAGCTAACTTTCATTCTGTCATCAAGCCATGGAGGTATGGATCTCAATAGAACCTAGGGAGGGCCTGGTGCTGTTCCCTTATTTGACGTGTAGCCAGAATGTCACCCAGGACTCTTCAGTTTATGGACACAAATAAGTTTCCATTAACTCTAATATCCACAGTTCGAGGCCTTGTGGTCTCCATGTGTATAATCAGACCTTGTAAGTTGCTGTAGTTGCATCTGAGACTCCCCAGAGTGACTTACATATTCTCAGAACCAGTCTTCTTATGTTCAATTTATGCCCCTCCTATTTAAGGTCACTATCTAGAAAATCCTGTGGGATTGGACCAAGGCTCTCGAGGCACGGTGGCTGTGGCTGTCCGTACCAGCACAACTTTGCTGCATGCAGTGATGCCTTCCTTTGCCTTCAAAGTTGTGGAACCCACACCAGGCCAAGGGGGCCTTACATTATTTGAGATACTTTGCTTAAAAGTGAAAAGAAGAGAATTATTAGCTATATGGCTGAAAATAGAAGGGAAGGTAGGGCTTCATTCAAACGTATAAACAAGGTCAGTGGGTCTCAGTTTCCTTCTCTCATTCTTTCTCTTCCTTCATGGTTCTCTCTCTCTCTCCATCTCTGGCTTCTACTTTTCTCTCTGTTAGGTTCAGTTTAAGGCAGGCCCTCTTCATAGAGTGAAGACCAGCATTATGTTTTCATTTCAGACAGTAAATCTAAATCCTGCATCCTCCCACCTGCCCCCACCAATAGTTCCAGGAAGAGCCCTGCAATTGAATCTCATAGCTCCTTGTGTCATGAGCTCATCCCTGAAGCAGCCACTCTGACTAGCAGATGGGAATTTAAGAGGTCAGGCCCTTGGCATGTGACTGTCACTAGAATCAGGAGAGATCCAGCTCCATCCAGCCTTGCAGACAGAGGATGGGGGAGTAGCAACTTCCTCAAGGAAAAATGAGGTGCTCATGCTACAATAAGGTAGAAGCAATTCTGAGGATCAGACTTCATAGATGTGTATTAAATAGATGCTTATTAAATGCCTGTTCTCTTTGTTCTGGGCTATGGGTTTTATACATCAATTCAGAGAATGCTCCTTTTTAAAATATGTGCTGCATTTTTTGTCACTGGAAAAAAATGTTTACAAAACTCTTGGGAAAAACTCTCTTTTAATTTTGATTTCAGTCTTCCTTTCTCATGTAACTCAGAACTGGTCCATGGAACTCAGATGGGAAAGTTGCAACATTCTGACTCCTTCATTTGCCCATTCTCCCAGGTCACTTTTATGACAAACTTTCTCTTAATTGGCCCCTGTCCCCCTATTTTATAAGTCGACTCCTACAAATACATCCTGATCCATCATTCATTAGACCCTACCTGTTGTAGGTTGAATTGTGTCCCCAAGAAGATGTATTCAAGTCCTAACCCCTGGCACATATGAATGTGATGTTATTTGGGAATAGGGTGATGGCAGGTACAATCAAGTTAAGATGTGGTCATATTGGATTAGGGTAGGCCCTATTTCAGTGACTGATGTCCTCATAAGAAGAGGGAAATTTGGACACAGAAGCATGCCCAGAGAGGAGAGGGGCATGTGAGGACACAGTGACAGAAGACAAAAGGAGAGCAGCATGTGAAGGAGGAGGCAGACATTGGGAGTGATCCCGTATAAGCCAAGGAATGCCAAGGATTTTTGGCAAGCACCAGAAGGTAGGAGAGAAGGATGGAACAGATCTTTCCATAGATCCTTCAGGGCAGGCATGACCTTAAAGACACCTTGATTTCGGGCTTCTGGTCTCCAGAACTGTGAGACAAATTTCCATTGTTTTAAGTCACCCAGTATATGGTCCTTTTTTATGGCAGCCCTAAGAAACAAATACAGCACTCAGCCTTGCATTAGCATGTAGCTCAGTGAGGATACAACACTTCATAAAATGACAAAGCTAAGGTGTAGAGAAGTGAGACAATTTGTCTAAAACCCATAGTGATTTAATAACAGCCAAGCCTACCCTGAGGACCTGGGTTCCTGCCTTGTCAGCCCCGTGTCTCTCTGAACACTAGGCTTCCTTAGTTGATTTTCTCCTTTAAGGCTAAAGAAGTTTGGATCAAGCTAGAAGTCCAGCCCTGAGAAGGGAAGCTATCTGCCTGTTGTGAGCCACACCTGCCAGCAGGAACCATTAGCCTTAGAACAGACCACTGAGCTGATATAGGGGATTTGGGGTAGACAGGGGCTGTATCTGGGCCCCAGCTCATTGCAGTCAAAAGAAGAGGAAAGGAGACTGCAGAGTGGGAGGCAGGGAGGGTGTGCCAGAAACCTGAGAAGGGAAGCTATCTGCCTGTTGTGAGCCACACCTGCCAGCAGGAACCATTAGCCTTAGAACAGACCACTGAGCTGATATAGGGGATTTGGGGTAGACAGGGGCTGTATCTGGGCCCCAGCTCATTGCAGTCAAAAGAAGAGGAAAGGAGACTGCAGAGTGGGAGGCAGGGAGGGTGTGCCAGAAACAGCTTGAGAGCACCAGGTCATTGGGGTGTGTATTTTGTCCCCAACAACATTTTTTCAAAGTGAGGCTCAGCTTCTGGAGCTGAAGGAAAGAGTGGAGACAGGAGAACCTCTCACCCAAAGGTGGTCCTGTTGCCACAGCCTCCCGCAGAGTTTGGGGGCATGTAGGCTTTGATGAGAGTTAGCCTCTGTTTAACAGGCCCGAATGACCCTCCCTCAGCACTGAGTCATCACAGACAGGAAAGAGTGGTAGCCTTGATGGTTGTTATTCAGGTCTGGGAGTTCACTATCTTATAAATACTTGATTTTGGTTTTTAATGTCTTGATAACACCTGCCAGGCCCACCTGTCTATAATCCCTCTTGGGAAGAATAAAGAATGGAGTTTTCCCTCTAGGGAAATGATTCTGTGCCTATGAGGGGTCCACGCCTGTTACAATGGCAGTAGGTAAACTTCATCTTATTTCTACCAACTTGTGAGCCTGAAGGCTGAGATCACCTCATTCTTGGTTCCTATCCCGTGATCCTATAGTGGGTTCTGCCCTAGTCACCAGCTGGCACAAACCAAACCTAGTTTAGAATTCCACAGAGGCTGAGGCACACAGGATAATGCATTAACCACCACAAAACATAAGCAGTGTTTGGCTTCACATTTGAATTCTCTGCTCTACAGAAGTGGAGTGAACCCACCAGCAAAAATCTAGGACATTTATGTTGTCCTAGACATTTTATACTCTTTTAAAAAAAGAAATACATAGAAAGGTGGAGGATTTGAGAGAAAAACAAGGAAACAATAGCAAGAAAATAAATGTGGAAAGTTGGAGATAATTCCTTTCTTCTCCTCACCTGTCTTTTTCCCAGTCCCTGTGTTACTGCTTTGGCATGTTCTCTTTGTTTACATATATAAAAAAAATAGTAGAAAGGAATGGGAAAGCAGGAAACATTTTATTACCTAATAGAAGAAATTAGTTATTATTGAAATTATATTTGTGTAACTGTTAGTCAGAAACCTCTCAAACAGGAATCATCTGAAGTTTGTGTAGTAGAAAGGAATGGGAAAGCAGGAAACATTTTATTACCTAATAGAAGAAATTAGTTATTATTAAAATTATATTTGTGTAACTGTTAGTCAGAAACCTCTCAAACAGGAATCATCTGAAGTTTGTGGCTGTCAGCTGTTCAGTCCATTAGAAAATCAGCTGACGTGTGCAGCCTCTGCCTCCCTCTATCACATTGGTGACAGGAAGACAAGGGGAGCAATGTTGGGCAGGTCAGTGCTTGTCAAGTGGAGCTAGGACATCTTTCAGAAGAATTTAAATTGGATCAGGTTTTATCATCTATTGCTTTATCTTTGAGACACTCCCAGAGAGTTTTAATTAGAGACATATGAAAGAGAACTAGCCTAAAAAAATACTGATGGACAAACTCTGCACATAGATGCGATGCATGTTTTAAATTCTTTTTGATATGTAGACATACATTTATAGGACATCTAATCCATTTTAGACATATTCTAGAAGGTCAATCTTGACCACAGAAGTTGTTCTGAAGAGGAATGAGGTGGAAGCACCCCTGTGTGGTGTCTCATTAACTAACTGCTCATGAGATGGGACCCCAGGGACTCCTTCCCTCCTCCTATGCAGTGGCCCCCTCAATCATACCACCTATGATCCAAAAAATCCCCACAGAGAAAGACATTTTGAAATTTAGAAGCTACGGCTATTTTTTGAAGACAGTCTTTTATGCTTTGAAACAAATTAATTTATGTAACACTCTAAAGTCAGAATATACTGACATGTTTTAGATAATAATGGGGAAAATTTTAGATAATAATAACGGAGACATTTTTCATTTTCATCTTTTCCTGCTAGATAGGCTCCATCTCTAATGAGAAATCCATAAAATATTTTTTCTTTATCACAGATATGTAAGTTAAGAGACAGTTTTTTCTTTTTCTTTTCTCCATGTCTGTGTGCGTTGGGTCTGGTGAGGACTATGCTTAGTTCTCCTTCAAGGCACTGAGAGTTCTCATGCTGACGTCACCCTATCAGTGCTTCTTTTTATTTTCTGTATTCACAACAGACTGTGAACTAATAATGATACTATAAAATGCTACCCCTACAGGATGGGTGGTTGATGTCTAAAGAATAGGAATCAGAGATTCAATCTGCTCAGGTTCTCAGACTCAGAGCTGTTACCCAGTGTCCAAGGCTGTCAGAGACGAAGAGCAAATGGAATGATTGGGGTGGAGTGAGCTTCTGTCATCCTTATTTAAACTGCTAGATAGTTCTTCAAGCCTGTCCCAATGGAATTAGTGTGGAGATAGCATTGCCGTGGATAGCTCCATGGATAGCTCCATGGATACTTCTGGTCCAGTAACATGTGCCGAAATGCAGTCCTCAGATCTGGATTTACCCTCCTGAGCCTCCTTTAATTCTTCCATGACTTCAATGAGAAAACATTGACCCTCATCTGCCATCTGCTCTTCTTCCCTTTTCTCTCCCCAACCCACTATTCACTCTTTTCTAATTATCTTTAAGTAGCATTATATACTAAACCACAATTCTTGGAGTCATGGAAAAAAATAAAACCCTGCAAATATTAATTTCACTTAAGGTAAATTGAATCCGTAGTCAGGAAGTGATGATTATAACTCTCTCATGCTACCCAGTGCCTAAAATTCCACTATCCAATCTGTTCATCTTTAGTTTAAGCGAATGATCCATCATACTTTAAAGTTCATATTATGAAGTGTGGCTAAAACAGAACATCCACAAGAATGGACTTTAGTCCTTTCCTGTGAGGAGGTGATGACTCAGAATGACCTCTGCTGAATTTCATGCCCATCCATTTAATCAGCAGAGTGCCTTTGGAGAAGTAATTCAGTGCTGTCTAGCCTTGGTTTCTATATACACAATGGGAATAGAAATATATAAAATAGTTTTGAAGATTTATTAATTTAGGGTAATATAAGTAAAGTGGCTGTCCCAGTCTTGGTATAGGGTAGATGCTTAATGTGTTTGCTTTTTTCCCTTGTTGGATTAAAAGTAAAGAAAGTTTTGTGTTCTCTTCTATGTTTTCTGTTCCTCCCATGCCCACAGTACAGGACAGTGATCTGCTCATGGTAGTTAATGTTTACTAAATGATATTATCAGATAAATGTGGAATTCATTAAGTGAATGTGAGTAGTTGGCTNATACACAATGGGAATAGAAATATATAAAATAGTTTTGAAGATTTATTAATTTAGGGTAATACAAGTAAAGTGGCTGTCCCAGTCTTGGTATAGGGTAGATGCTTAATGTGTTTGCTTTTTTCCCTTGTTGGATTAAAAGTGAACAATGTTTTGTGTTCTCTTCTATGTTTTCTGTTCCTCCCATGCCCGCAGTACAGGACAGTGATCTGCTCATGGTAGTTAATATTTACTAAATGATATTATCAGATAAATGTGGAATTCATTAAGTGAATGTGAGTAGTTGGCTGGCCCTAGCCACCTTGGGTTTGGGTGATGTGTATCTTTCAGAGCAGAAGCACCGGAGAGCAGCCTGATGTCTACTGCAGGCATGAACATGAATGTGTGATTACCGTTGAGTGCTAACAGGAGAATCCTAGGTTTTTGTTTTATGCTGAGCTTGTGTTATCATTTGATCCTAGTCAGAGTCAGGGCAAGGGCAGCACAAATGAAAGACTGAAAGAATTTATTGACTGAGAGATGTAATCTATAGATTTATGGCAAGATGGGTGTAACTTGATTTATAGAGGAAGACTGCATGTGCCCCTCAGTGCCATTAAGCTCCAGGTGATAGGATGACTATAATCCCTCTGTACAGATTGCTAAGTTTCTGTGTCAACTTTGAGCTGGTTGTCAAATAACATAAGTTCATGGGGCCCATGCCATGTCCTCCTCAAAGATAAAGACTGCAAACAGAAACGTAAGACAATAAATAAGAGGCACACGGGTGTTACATGTAAGAATGAGGTAATTCAAGTTGTGTGGCTGTGAGAGCTTAGAAATCATTGGAGTCTGTTCCTTGAACTCTTCTCCATGTGGCCCAGGAAGGAAGCTGAAGCTTTCTGTAGGTTTTATTTTGGCTACTTAATGATATGGACTTGGAGGTATGAAGAAGGCAGAAGACATACATATATTGTTATTTTTTAAATCACCCAGACCTTAATATTTTTGATGCCATAGGAACGCAGTCTACGATTGGCTGTATAATGCTTTCCTACTGGTAGCTGACCCTTAATTTAAGAATTTAAGTACCTTGTAAAGGGAGGCTGTGAGTTATCCTAGACCCAGAAATCCTGAGAAAAGCATTCATGGCTGTTTATCTAAAATCCTTGCCCAGTCCTGTACTAATCTAAGCAAGTCCAGCTCCATCTTGTGTCTTCAAACCACATGTCTACTGTGTTCTAGCTTCCTTGGCTGCGATGTTTAAGAGAGGCCAATCATTCTCCACCTATACCTTGAGCTTCATAACCTTTTCATCTTCTCACCACTGGTGACAGAACTGTGTGAGAGATGGACTTGGCTTGGTCACTTCTCTTGTCCCCCCCCCAACTTGTCCTTCTGCTCTCCCGTTGTGGGACGGATGATGGGGTATCTAACTCTCACTGAGAATTGAATGAGAATATTTTCCTATCAAAGTCTCTTACTTTATTTACTTATTGCAAAGAATAAATGAGTAATAATTCTTTAAAATGTTACTCATGTAAAAAGAATGGTTCAGTTAAAAAAGATAAAGGAATTAAGTCAATTGACTGAATTTGGGATATAAATAATGGATGATAAGATGTAAGATCCATGGAAGGTAGACATAGTTCTTATAAATGATATGTAATGAGGGCCAGAGATTGAAAACCCAGACTAAAGGGTTTTATCTGGTTCTCAGTTATTCTTTTTCAGGTCACGTTGTTTTGTTTGTTTGTTTGTTTGTTTTTTAAATGTGTATTAGTTTCCATCATTTAAAAATAGAGAGATTTCATATAAAAACAAAACGCAACTTGGATTTCTAGTTTCTTAGATGAAATTTGGACAGTCTATTAACAGAAGGTTCACATTCTCTTATGCTAACAGTCAATGGAAGCTGAATCATAGCCCAGCATTTTGGAGGCAGGCCATGTCCTCCATTTTACCACAGACCTCACTACTCTCGACAGCCTGTGGTTGACCCACTTCCCTCGTTGTGTACCTGACTCCTGTTGGTGTTGCATTCGTGTCTCTGTAGGCCAAGAGCATGTAAGACCCATTTATGTCCTTATTATGGTTGCTGGCTGGTGGGACTTTGGGGCCTTCGTCCAGGGACTCATGTCTAGCCAGGTGGAGAATAAAGTGCAAAGAGACACAGTCTTTTCAGGGCAGGCTGATGTGGAAATCTCAGTGAAGCGATGCAGGGAAACCTTAGTGCAGGAAACTGAATGGTCGGACACCAGGGATATGTCAAGTGTGGATGTATTTCAACTTAATGCGGAGTAACAAGAACATCAGAAACAACAGCAGAAAGAAAATGTGGATTTATCTATGCATAGGCCATTTCTGTGAAACTTCATGTACTTTTACTGGTTTGTTGATACCATTGGATGTATGCTACTTATTCCATTTGATTATGTCTGCCTCCCTAGCTCCTAGGCTGTAAACTCCTGGATGACAGGTGTCCTTCTCTCATTCTTTTCCATTTTCTTCTTTCTTTTCCTCTTCTCATACCCTCACTTTCCATAAAATAACACAGATCAAAATAATACATGCTTTAGAGCTATGAGTATTCAAATGAAAGTTTCATCTGTTACCCACTTACTGCTTCTTTTCTTTTGCTGGATAAGAGCAGAATCCTGTGAAACTTTTCTTCCATCTCCTTTTAGGATTTAGAATGAGGCAGCGACATGTCCTCATGGAATCCACAGGGCCTGCGGCGCATTGCCCTCATTTAGTAGAATCTGTTCCTTGTGAAGATCCAGTGTGCTACCGGTGGCTGGCATCAGAAGGGATCTGTATTCCTGATCATGGAAAATGTGGCCTGGGACACCGCATCCTGAAGGCCATCTGCCAGGATGATCGAGGTATGACCCAATGTGGCACTAGAGATGTTAAGCGACACTGGCCAAATAACACGTTACCACTTTCTTACAGGTCATTTTCTTTAGGAAGAGAAGCACAGCCTTTTCCATCCTTGAATATTTATGTTTAAGTCAAGTGACACATTGCTGCAAAGTAGGCTACGTGGCTTAATATGAGGTCACATACTCCAGAGCAAAAGAACTCTATTTAATTATGCCTAAATGCAATACAGTGACCCTGGAGATTTCTCACGAGTTTTTAATTTGTTGAGACAAATAGAGAGCAGGAATCTTTCAGATGGTCTTCACCTTATCAATAAAAACAAGTTTTATTTGCTTTTTTTGAGGTCGATATTTAACATGCCTTTATATATTATTAACAAATACTACCTCATAAAAATTCTAGGGCTCAAACTCGCTCCAAGTTAAAAAGAAAAAAAA